TCTAGCTCCTATCCAAGGGCATTGGTCACGATACATCATCGGGGATGGGTCAAATGGCGGTGTGAGTACGATCTGCAAAAGAAGGGTTCCGGCACGATTTCAATTCACAACGTTCTCCCCCTTTGCGGGTAAACACAATCCTCCTGATGGTTGTCGCACACGATAATGTGCACTGGTACTAGGGGTGTAGTTCATCGAATCCGAGGCGCGGTATCGCGCGCGAGCTAGTAGGGTATCCCCTAGCTAATTTACTTGACGAGCCGTACCTTTGTCACATTTAATAGGGTTGAATTACCTGCGGTGTCCATCGTACTCCTGGAGCAACTAAGCCGCGAACCACAACAGATTTCTCTTGACGACGGAAAGTATCAAGCGGAATGTCGACATGTGCCAGTTCCAGCAAACGACCGTATAAGACAGCATCCAAATCAACGCTACAAAGAAGACAATTATGTATGTGAGAATAAATGGAACTTCAGCTATTTCCTACCAAGCGAGGAAAAAGGGAAAAATCAGGAGCCAGCAAAAACGACTGTAATAGTCAATGTGGAGTCAATACCATAACGGAACGAATCGGAACATCCGGAGGTCGTCTCATGCCTTTCTCCGTTCTCTCTTTCCTCTTCCGATGAGAAATACCCCTGGATCCTCACAGCGAGAAAGCATCCGGTTGACTAAGCTCTCAAATGGGGTCTATTAATGGACCATGCAGAGTCCATTAATGGACATCATTTTAGAGTACGAATAATGTTGTCTTTCAGAAGTTTAGTCCGTCAAAGAACCACTAAAATGTCTAAAGGGATTGAGTACGCTAGGGAGGAGGCGAGGCAGTAGCTCCAGTGTCATTGATGTTAGAGGGTCAGACAACACCGCGCGCTGCAAGGTTCAGCTCAGCCCACCACCACCCAACCGGTTTTTTTTACCGATGACCCCGAAGCTCCTGCCCTGTTCCTGACGGATGTGGCACGCCTTTTACATCCATTCAAAATCGTAGTGTATCATTGAATGCGAGGGTCTATACAATGACCAGCCGATATACAAGCCAGTGTACTTGTCTCACGACAACCGTACATAGATTACCGTCTCCGGAGGGTAGAAAGCTTGGTAAGCTTGGATAGGAACCGATTTGGGACCCGAGACGTGGTAGCGGACTTCTTACCACTACACCACCTACTACTCCTTTATCCGGTCATTGTTCAACTCAGCATCAGTGCAGAAATGTAACCTTTCGCATCGCGGCTGTTCATTCTGGTGACGGCACCGAATGGTGCTCAGTGAAGCGTGTACAGCCCTTGTGAAACCTATGAATCTCTGTAAACATAATTGCTCACTTGTACCATTTCCCAGCTTTAACAAGTTTACAAGTCTCACCAATATGATAGTCAGTCGTCAACGTGGAATAGCAAAAGGAACTAGTGCAGTGCAGACTGCCCCTACCAAGTCGAACAGCGATCTGCCCTACTATGGACAGACAACATCAGGAGGGTACCCAGAAAAACTGACCAGATTTTCAGGTGATCGTAGTTGACTCGTTTCAGCTGGTCATCTGTGTATGCACGTAGTAGGACACAAGCGGCTCGCACAATTGTTCTGAATCCTCCAGCGACTGTGGACGAGTCCTTCAGAGAAAAATATGTCAAAAATTGATCTGGCGAGAAAAAAAAACGGAAAAATGAACGTCAACACACCCTTCGCAGGTAAGTGATGAGATCCAGCATGATCTTTTCCATATTGATTTGCTTCAGCACATGTACAATCCTGGAACAGAGCCACACTGAGGATACCGCGCGCGGGGAAGCACACGCAAGAAATGGCTCGCACTCCTACCTGTCGACTTCCACATCGAAAAATGGCAAAAGGAAGATTTCATTCTCATCACCAGTGCTCATGCCCACATCCACACCAGTGTTGCCCATCGTCTAACAATTATAACAGAATCTTAGTAACATATAATAGTAATCGGCGCATTCAGTTGGGCCGGTGTCAGAAGGGGCTGAATGACCCTCCTCCAGACAGGGTACAGCATCGTGATGTGTGAAATGATGGTGTCAGTACGACCCCCCCCCCCTTCCCCAACACCTACCTACCACCTCACAACTTCCCAGCTTCCTTTTCCAGTTTTTCACCCGGAAATTTTCCGTCGAGCGGGAGGGGGGAAGGGGGTGGTAAATAGCACATGTGAACATGTGAAACGGGAAAAATCACAAAAAGTCAACAACTGCGGGATATCTCTTCCTCTCAAATTTCTCTCAAAGGCACATACGACCCCCCCCCCCCCTCTCAACAACGATCAAATACGACCCCCCCCCCCCCCACCTCCGCCCCCCATGCGTTTCACACAACGATGCTGTATCCTGCCTCCAGCTGCTTTCCCCACCAATACTGATCGTCAGGAAAATTGCCAAGGGTGAAAACGCAGCGGGTGGGCTAGATCCATCCCTCCAAACACCGCCCCGACTGATTGCGGCGATATCAGCTATATAAGTTTGTAAGAGCGGATCAGGTGCTCACATCGTTGGGATCCACAGCGTAAGCGTCATCAGTTTTGTCAGCAATCAACCAATTCATAACCAACTGCTCTTGGATCGATTCCAAATTGTTCATGTGGTTAACTTGTGCAAGTTGCTTGATTACAGCCAGTGTCTGCTCTAAATTTAAACAGGACCTAAAGACACACTCCACGACTACCTGAATGACGGATTATTTTCGCAAAAAGGAGAAGATCTTAGCCATAGAAATGCAGCAGCACTCCCTCCAATCGGCAAGAACGCGACGATGAGCTAGAAGCTTGCGATAGTGAAATACTCTATCCACGGCCCTATTCGATAAGCGGTGCAAGTGCTGTTGCTCGATCAAGTGACAACTCATACGCAAGAAGGCGCACGCACGTAGCGTGTGCGGCCAAAGTTAAGCGTATGCTGGCCGTGTGGCTTGGACGTGACTGTATGTGTATCGTGTCGCGTATGAATAGCAGCTGAGACAGAACGATTGGTGAAAGAACAGACGATCACAACCTTCTAGCTTTTTTTATGCGCACTTTCGATTGTATGAAAGGAGTGCTGCATTGCTATGATGTTGCAACTGTCCACCTCGCATGAAAGGACGCAGCTTTCAGGTAACCGTGCGGTGTACATTTAAAGGCAGTTGGCACGATAAATCCCCCCCCCCCAAGACGACTAGGATCAATACGCCTGGCAGGACGGAATTCCGCGACCCTGAGCAGGCGCTGCATAGCGCTTTCCAAGGAAGGTGCCCTTATAAGGGCCCTATCAAGCCACAACTTTACGTCCCAAACGCCCGCCACGCCCGCCCGCCCACAAATGGACGACCGTTCCTGACGCTCGTATTCATTCATTTGCTAAGCAAATTATGAAGCGAAGGGATTGGTATGAAGCGGCCGTGATGCTGCAAGATGCCTATGGGAAACTCGTCCGAAATCGATTTTCAAGTCACTGAGAACGGAGGCTTTTTCTTCGCAGGATTTTGACCGTTTCACTCCGTTCTTTCGCCATTTCCCCACTATATAGCGCCTACTAGCATTTTAGGTCGAAAAGGAAACCATTGTGCCAACTGCCTTTAACCTAAAGAGCGAAGCATAGCGGTTAGAAATACACAAACCTCGTTCTTTCTCACATTTCCAGTCAATACTGTTCGAGTAGATGTAGTCGATCAATGCTTCAGGAGTTTCTGTTAGATCGCATGTCTTCTCATTGAAGAGGCCAGACTAAGAAAGCATATATCAGCTTCATAAAAGCGCCGTCCGCAATTACCCGTGAACGTATGAGCGGGGAATCGTGACAATTGCGCCTTCCTCAGTGTGCACCCTCCTTACGTTGCAGTGAAGAGGAGCTGCGCACAACGAGGAAGGCAGAATGATCCTGAGGTCCAGTCTACTTCTCGAACCATACGATTATCACGTAATATGCTCTCAATTCAATAATATTAGGCGCAATTCCGCTTCGTGAGAGCATTCTGCTGGCTTCCATAAATCAACTGTTTTCTCTCCCAGCTGCTTTACAAACCCCCCAAACTAATTCTGAATACTAACAACGTGAATTCGTCAGAAGTACCTTCTTGAGGATTAATTCAGTGTTATACTTCTCAATGGCTTCACCAAGACGGTTGACCTGCTCCTCAATTCCCATCCGTTCAGCGGCATCCATCGGCTAAATGGCGGAATGTTAGATGTTAATGTTCGTCACACTGGCCTTAGAGCTAACATGAGAAGATCCTTCCAGTCCTCACCGGTTCTATATTGGGAGTCGCCAACCAATCCTGTGCAATCTTTCTACCTATCTCCAGCAAACGAATTTTTGTCTCACCTAAATTGTTTCTTGTGTGATATCATCTCTGAGAAACTTTTAAATCTTGAGAACATAGAATGATGAAGAGACGCGTGCTGCCGTTCTATTAAAGGCACAGTTCGCGACCGCAAATTGCGGGAAACGGAACTCAAATAGGCACAAAAAAGTGCTAAGTATCTGATTAGCGGAGAAAAGCAGCAGAAAAAGCAGTCCGAAATGTTATAGAGAAGATAACATAGTGGCTACTAGCTAGTAAGCAGCCGGTGAGGGTCGGCATGGGCCTAAGGGGTGTCCATGGGCCTAATTAGTCAGCTTCTAGCGGAGTTCTTGCCGTTTTTCACATTTTGAAAGTAGCGCAGCCTCAAAAATCGCCTTCCGGATCGTCCGACACATTTGAGAGGTCATAGCCTTATTTTATCGCGGAATGTGCCTTTAAAGTTTCACCGCGCATTTGTTTGACATCACTGCCGTCAAACAGTTAAGCCTGCTGTTATGGCCCTGAATGTTGAGCAAGCCATCGTATTGTATCAAATTGCTGCTAAATACGATCCCCTCTTAGAAAGGCGTCTTGATTCGACCTCCTACCCGAAAAGCATGAAACGGTATCGAATCGGATCCCCGAGCGTTCGCGCGCATTCAGCAGTTGAACTGGAGCGAGCCATTTGTGGTAGTTTTTGGAAATAGGCAAGAAGCTCCGGGTGTATCCTTTGCTTGGATATATTCCACTCGGCGCCTATTGACGTTCTTTCTGTACTGCGCTATGCATCCGACTTCCACGCGAGGTGTTGGAAAGGTGTTACTTCCAGGTAAGGCTTCACCGTGCAAGCAGAAGCGCTTCTGCTGCTAGGAAAGGTCCGCCTATACTGTGTTTCGTTTGTTAATGACACCGTTAAAGGCTGCCGCCGTACTTATTGTCACCCCCCGTTCCGCTCTTCTTAGCTTGCAATTTGCCGCTGTCATCAGGTGTCTCTTCAAGTATTTTCCACAACAAGAATAATGAATGAATTTTCACCATCCAGTGGCTGTACAAACCCGAGCACCGCTGCTCATCCCACTTCTGAATGAGACCTACGCTTACAAGGACCCAGCCCCCATCTAGCTCGCAGTCACATGCGACCCTCCTCCTGTGACTTCCACAACGATCCCTGTCTGAACGTCTATCAAATCTTGGCACATCCTATGACACCTATAGCCACTGCTTACAGAGTAGCCTTACCCTGTGACGCTTTCTTTATCGTACCAGCATTACTCTTGTAAAAATAACACACAAGGGGCGGGGATGAAGACTCTACAGTTTTGTCCCGTTTCAAGGGTGGTACAAGGGCAAGAATGTGGTGATCCCTTTCCCCTTACCCGCTTTATCTAGCGGCAGACTACTATCTTCGATACCTGACCGGAGGTGTCTACCCTCCTTTCTGCGCGCTTTGAGGGTAAACATTTGGTAAAATGGTAGGTTGCGAAGAGGGTCGTGCTGTAAGAGAGAAGAATGGTCTCATTGTGTAAAATGTCTTCGCAACGCGATGATACCCTTGTCGCACAACTATAGAAAGTACTGCTGAAAAACATTGTGCAGGCTTCAAGCTGTAGGGGCGGCTATAAATAGGATCTTACTCGATACTGTATAAAAGTACCTACATAGTGGTAATTTCTTGAAGCACATGGCTACACATGATACAACAGCTTTTCTAGACGGTGTCTGCTTAAGCAGCCGATCGATGACTGCCTCTTCTCGTGCGGACAAATTCTGAAATTCTGACCCCTGAAAACACATCAGTAGGCTACTCATCGCACTCAGAAACTAATTGAGCCAAAGTAGATACCTTGGAAATAACTTCGGCGCTTATTTTTCCAACAGCTATCGAGAGCAGTCGTGACCGGGGGAATTGGTGGTGAGCGTTGAGCCAGCTTACACTTCGCAGCATAGCCGGCTGAGCCACTAGAAAGGCCAGCAGTATCATGATAATAATCATAGCATCAATACTCTATTATATGTTTTGATAGTAATCATAGCATCATACTCTATATATATTAAAGCAGAAGTTGTCTGTTTGTCGGACACACCAATAGGAGAATAGGCTCCGCCCACGATGGGCGGGGCCCTATATTTGCTGAGCGGTGTCACGGACGTAATCTCTTGGAAAACGTTGTCAACAAAACTCTTAAACGCCGTCAACTTTGGGATGGGGGGGGGTGGGTAAGAAGCATTGTTGAAATATTACGCAATACACAAAGCTCAAGTTAATCCTCGCAACATTTAATGGACGGCGGCGTGCACGAACGGTGAGTAATGACTTACAATTAGACTACCCCACAATGGGGTGTGGGGGGCATACCGAAGTAGCGGAGCGTTTGTTCGGACGGCGGGCGAACTCAATCTTCAAATTTTCGGTACACTGCCGGCCAGCGGGAAAACTGGCATCGGAGCAAAGTGGGCAGGTAGATAAACAGAAGGAGGCACACCCGAACTGGGTGTTGGGAAGAGCACGGCAGCCTGCAGTCGGCGGACGCTTGTCTGGGTAGGCGGGACCAAGGTAAAAATCCGCTGTAATTGAACCCAGAACTACCTGAGCAGCGGGAAAATGTGGAGTAAGAAGTGGGTCGAGCGATTTGACGCCCCACCGCTGAGTTGAAAATTGTAGGGGGAACTCATTTCCCATGCACAACTCACTCCACCATGCACATCGGAGTATTCGCCCGGCAAGCCGGGTGCGTCCGTTATGAAGCAGAAGTTGTGTGTGTGTGTGTGTGTGTGTGTGTGTGTGTGTGTGTGTGTGTGTGTGTGTGTGTGTGTGTGTGTGTGTGTGTGTGTGTGTGTGTGTGTGTGTGTGTGTGTGTGTGTGTGTGTGTGTGTGTGTGTGTGTGTGTGTGTGTGTGTGTGTGTGTGTGTGTGTGTGTGTGTGGTGGTCTGTGTGTGTGTTGTGTTGTGATGGGGTGTTGTGTGGGGATTGTGTGGGTTGGTGTCGTGTGTGTGTGTGTGTGTGTGTGTGTCTGCGTGTGTGTGGACCATCCGAAAGGTCGGGGACTGTGGTGCGAAAATAACTTTGATGGGAACGCGATCAGCTCGGATGGCGGGTATGCATTGGGCCAACATTTACAGAGCCTATACAGAACATACGCTCCGCCCGCCATGGGATGGTATAGAATAAATGTGTCATATTCTTTCCGAGACAAAATACGAAGATTCAAAGTATAAACCTAATTCTTCCAATAAAACGCCGAATGAAGCTCCAGGATAGTTCGGATGTGTGGCTAGCTAGTTTCCTTCAACCTATGAGAGCACAGAGTTCGATCACAGTCAGGGTACGTCCTGCCGCTGAGGAACTCTTTTGCAAGGTACGAGCCTTCCAAATTTCCTCCTCTGGTACACTCCCCCCTCCCCACACCATGCGCCATTCTAGCCACAACTCTCCACTGCCCTAACTTTTCCCAAAAAAGTCCCGTCGGTGACGAGGTGGAGTGGGCGGGGAGGGGCTAGGTAGGCAACTACAGAAGGAGAGGTCTGAAAATAGTCAATAATCGAAATTATTTCTCCCAAAGACAAGAAAGACCCCCTCGCTGGGAATACCAAACGTACGAGACTAACCATATTTCAGCCAATTCCGGTGTTTAAAAGTACGACAGAGGACTTCCCATGTTCTGTACCTTCTACAGCGCCCAAAACGTCCCAACTTCATTCCTTCTAGGTGAACGAGGATACAGCTCATAGTGAACGATTCCTACTGCTCTTTCGTCGGACCACATACCTTCAGGTAAAAAGCAAATTTGATCGAGCAAATCTAATTTACACATAATAAATAGTATATAGTGTAATATTGGAGGAGACACTCACGAGCACATTGTAAACGTCAAGTTCCTTCTCCACAATCGGAACCAAGTATCGCTCCATATCGCCAGCTGCCAGATATAGGAATGGATGGAAAGGTAACCGCTGTTTCGCCTGAAAGCTCATTTCAGCTCCAGTATGTTAACCCCTCCATCTGTATAAATAGTCTTTCTCACTGATGCCCCTGAGGCGTGCCAGAGGAACCAGGTTAGCAGCGGCGTCAGCCTGTTTTCTTCCACTTGTTGTCGCTTGCCCGCTTCAACATTTGATAGTGGAACGAGCTGGCGCCGCGCCAAATCCCCCCCCCCCCGACACGCTTCAGTGTACATATGCAGCGAAAACGAATGCATTCTTACCATTTGTGGCATCGCTATTGCAAGCACGTCACGCTCGTACAAGTTGCTCTCATTACCGTCTTCACAAAATGACGACGGCTGCAGATGAAATGAAGAAGACCGGGTGCCTTGTTCAAAGAAGCATCGGCAGTACGCACCAAAGTCTTCGACGTTTGGATCCTGAAATAGCAGCTTTGTGTGTACGAGAACTGATGCGGGCCAGAAGGTCAGAGTGTAGGAACTATCTCGATGTAAGCGGTATTTGTAACCAGTTAACACCGCTTGTAGCACTTTCGCATTGAATCACTTAGGTCCTGGTGCGAATGCCGCGCACAGCACCCTGATCCTATCTCCTTGTCCACATTCAGCGAAACTACTCATTCGAAGGCGCGATTCACCTTCCTATCCGTGGCCATTTGTTTCTCGCGATTAGTGTACCACACCAGTTCGTCTTTGCATATAGCGCTCTCACGACGACGTTCCATAATGAAGTTGAGGATCTAAAAATAGTACCACATTGAGAATCCAAAAACGTTTCAAGGCACTACATACTATACTATAAAAATCATCGCTAATCGCTACTTTTCGCATGAAGCCCGTCCAACTCGAGAGGGCTAACAGGGCACGTTTTGCCGTTGACAGAACCTTTGGCAAATAACGACCACCGTTCAGGACTTAACCTCTGGTGAAACCCTTTCCCACCCTACCACCTAACTAATTGTTCGAACTTCCTACCACTTACTCGAGGTTTTATCGAAAATCCCTCACTGTTCTCACAAAAAACTGCGCATGAGCAGGATGGAGGGTGTACAGGGGGAGATGTAATATATAGGGTAGTTGAAACAGGAGAAACCGAAAAAAGTCAACAACCGAAAACATCTTCCCCAAGGGCAAACACGACCCTTTCCCTTCCTCCATCCAACAGAAACGACTTGCGAACCCATCGAAACTCCCGTCTAGGAATCTCCAGCTACGACAAGCCTTGTAGGACCAACTCCATACGAAAAGTACGCAAGATATGCATGCACGTACACACTATACCCACGACATGGTAGAGCGTGGCTGTGTACGTCATTTCAACTTAGCGCAAGACTCATTTTTGAGTAAAATTCCCAACTGGGACCACTGTCATCGTGCCCTCTGCTAAACAAGGACTTGGTGGTCCCATAGCGGCAACATCCCACAAAGAGCGCAGCCACGCCCACCAGATCCAGGATATGAAAGGTACTTTGCCTTGGAATCAAAAAGTAAAGCTAACCGATGTACATCCAGCAACGAAAAATCGATCTTCATTACCACATGTGGATGCAAGATGGGAAACAATGAATTGTATAGTCTGAAATCAAGTCGTGCAGCTTTGAAGGCAAACTGTTCACTCACCTTCGAGGACGGTCCTTTATGTGTGTGAGCTGGATGGGCCCGCAGCTGTAGCAGCCCCTCACCTTGACCCCTTAAAAATGCACAGGAACGGGACTGGAGGGAAGTACTCCACCCTCGTTATCCTCAAGGTGCAGCACTTGCGTTGCTACGAAAATCCAATACGCAGTCAGAGGTAGAGAACAACCAGAAGTGAACGGGCGCAGACAAGTAGAGCGCTGGCCATGGTTAGGCGCGTAGGTGACCGCGCGGTAGCGTGGGCGGCTCCCGGAACCAAAGAAATCGGTACGCCAATGCAGCTGCGAACCCACTGACCCCACACACAGTAAGGACTAGGATCCACGGAGGTGAGTATGCTTCGTATTTAGGGAGAAATGAACGTAAAAGCCGTCCAGAAGCAATAGAGAAGTAGCTACATACAGGGTAATTGTATGGAGAAACCGTGTACAGAATGTCTCGGAATGCAGAAAATAGTTTCTCAGCGACTATATGAACTTCATTGACCTAAAATTTCACAGGCCTTACATTGAAGGGTTCATGAAAGCCATCACTGCCTTGAGAGGCCAGCACCAGACTTACCTTTAACGCTTGATGAGCAACTTCAAGGAAACTTGTAATCTCACGCCGATCTTCAGTTGCTGATGCTAATTCAACCAGTTTTAGGGCATAGCTAAGCAACTTGTCAGGTAATTCGCTCACACCACAGAATTCATCAACGTATCTGAAACGTGAGCGCAACTTCCGATGATAGCAAAAACATTTAGAAATTCCAAAACTCCTAACGAGGGTCCCACCGCCTTTCCATTACGGAAGATGGGCGGGCCAATGAGGATGGTTTTGACGCGGCGCCAGCCCGTTCTGCACCAGTAGTTGAAGCGGCTAAGCAATAACGACTGGTAGAAAACGGCTGGTATGATAGATACAGTCTTGTCGCTTGCGGAATGAAAAAAAGGATTGGCGCCGCACTGAACCCATCCCCCTTGCTAAGCCCCATCATCAGCATCGAAAGTTTTCTTCTTTTGTTCATCTGCACTAAATGGAAACAAAACTAACTCAGCAACGACGTTCGGATCCACTTTGTGTTTAGCGAATTCATCAATCGCAAACTCAATGGGCTTTCGCGGAAGTGCTGGGGACAAGCATGCCTTTCCGAGCCGTTTTGCCCACAACGTCTTGATGAAGGTATCCTAAAAGACGTGCGTCATCGCGATGGCTGAATACTACCGAATTCACTTGTCCATCCAAAACTGTGCAGGACATCAGCTCTAGCATTGGCTCTGTGCGAGAGGCGTTCACCAACAAAAGCGGACATAACTTTGGCACGTAATCATTTAAAACACACATACCGTCAACATCTTGGCATGCCCAGAATTTCCTGTGAGAATCGCACCAAACTGGACTACACGCAGGAAGTTGAGCATAGTCTGTGGCGATTTCCTATTTGATACGATATTTCTCAGCTCTATGATCAACTGAAAATGCAGCTGTTAATGCGTGCCATTCAATGGCAACATAGGCTTTCACAGGCTAACTTCTTCTATTGTCGATGGCGGCAAAGATGAGAGAAGAGTGCATGGTGTCCATAGATCGCATGGATGAGCCTGCAGTGCACGAACACAGATGTTGCGGACGGAAATTCGCAGTCCAATATCATTTCGTGCTTGCTGCTCCTCCCACCAAGCTGAAAATGCCAAAATTATAAATAAACCTTAATACATCTGTGGTGGGTCTAGCATTCAAAAAACACTGGAATAGATATCAAGTTTTGGGCGGAGGTTGGGCGGAGGTGGTAAAGTAGCAAATGGCGCTCTTTACCGCGTTCATACTGGGATAAGGGCGAATCTCGGAACGAATCACGCCCAGGTTGATCGATGCTGATTTCCCACAAAGGAGTTGATCGCAAACTATTGACTTCTCAACACTACTCAGAACTTAGATCACACTAATTGTGTGAGCGGAAACAGTCGACCACTGTCGCCAGAGAGGCGAGCCAATGAAGAAGATGTAACGGTTGTTTATTTATCCATTTATTTATTAACTTGTTACTACGGTCCCCGATCACCGCTGACTGCGCA